AAGTGAAAATCCAAAATATGGCTAGGAACACGCTAAACGGCAGGAACGTGTAGTTCTCGAGAGCATTCTGGAACAAAATAAAAAGGTTGTTATTGAAGTAGTTAACACAAACACTCATTAAACAGTATTCATATAAACTGTGAAACTTGATATAATCTTCGTAATTGAAATTAGAAACCTGAATCTACAGACACAGAAGCTTAAATTATAACTTAATTGTATTTTAAGATTTGTTTGCGCTACAGTTTTGTTTTATGTTTACTTAAGAACAAGTTGTTTACGGAAATATTTCTTTTCCGATTAGGTACTTTAAGAATCACCAATATTCCACAGAGGACACGAATTTTTTATAATTTCTCTTCATTTATTTGTACAACAGAGCATTCATAAATGATTTCAAGCCACTTGACCGCCGAGCTTAAGCAACCAACATTGCACAATTGGCACTGTCAACTAAACATCCCTAGATCTTAACGACATCAATATTAACGATTCGTTTCCAATGAACGATGACAAATCGTTTTGTCTACGCTCGATTTAGTTGAACGAAATATTGTTAATAATTACACCAAAGGAAAAACTTAAGAACTTAAGGAAAACTGGACACCAGCGTTTTCAGCGGATCGAATTACAAATTTTCCTATGTTTGTCAGAATTTTAGGCAGTATCATTTTGAGATACAACTGCCTGCGACTACAGCCCAATCCAACACTTGCAATATAGTGAAGAGCTAAAATCAATTGTCAGCAGAATAATCAGACATAGGTTGCGAATTTGTTAGTTCTTATCAGTATGTCATAGGAGAGATTTGATTAGTAGGTTGCTCTTTGTCAGTAGGTACAAAGAATACTTTATGTCGGTGGGCATTGAGTAGCATCCACAATAAAGATATGATATACTTTGTAGGTTATAGGGTAGGGTAGGTCTCGTTGATCATTTTGTATGATTGTGTCGAATATGTCGATGAAACGATTTTTTCAAGAAATGCAATTAGGAATTTTCACAATAACCATGTGTGGGCTGGAGGAAATCCACATGAGATACTTGAAGATCGTTTTCAACATGATTTCTCGTTGAACGTTTGGGTTTGGAATTGTGGGTGACAGCGCATTTTAGTGTGGTTGTTCGAGACTTTTTAACAGTAACATATGAAGTTCGTTGGATTGGTCGAGGTGGAAATCACTTATGGTCTGCTCGATCCCCGGACTTAAACTCCCTGGATTATTTCCTATGGAGCGATCTAAAGTCATTAATTTATACTACTCCAGTGGAAACTGTGGAAGATTTAAGAAATCGGATAATTGTTGGGTGTAACTCAATAACAAACGACTCTGTTTTTGAAAGAGTTCGGCAGTCAATGAGGAGAAGATTGGATTCTTGCATCCTAGCTGGAGGTAGTCATTTTCAACATTTCTTGTAGATTAAGAAGCTATATATGTAATTTTCGGTAATAAAATGTAATTGTCAAAAATTTGCTGTATCTTCGGAACAAAGCGGGTTTTCAAAAATCATCAAAGGACAAAATATTCTTGGAATAGTTTAGGGAAAAACCCCTTGAATTTTTGCCGTATGTTTAATAAACACACTGTATAGAGTAGTCGTTAAGAAAATTAACAAGTATAGGAGTTAAATCTTTAGAAGTGGCGCACTATGGCTCAAAGGACATTTTTTTATGTCAAAATCAAATATCTCGAAGAGGAATTAACGAATCTTTTTACTTTTTTTTTAAATTAAAGTTTATTTGATGCATATTTAGGGAAAATTATTGCGAATGTCATAATCCCTTATTTTGGGGGTGGAATTGAAGGGTGAATAGGGGAAAAAAGTAAAAATCGATTTTCTTCGTTCAAAAATCTTATATCTTCGATAAATACAGTGAAATTAAGACACATTATGGTGCAATCAATGCTCAATTGAAACAAGTTATGGAAAAATTAATGAAAATATTTTCATCGCTATTTTAGGGGTGAGGGTGTGGAAAAATGAAAATTAAAGAAAATATGCATAAAAGTTTTTTGTTGTCGCTGAACACGAATAAAAGCATCACTAAAACAAAAAACTCCTTTTCAGGAGCTGTTTTTATCATACTCTGATTTAGGGGAAGAACTCAGGGGCGGGGGATTGAATAATAAAATTCATCTGAAATGTTACCAGAGTCTTTAACATGGATGGATTTTCTTATCATCTGTAAATCAGGGTGATTTTTCATTATCCCTTACTTAAGGGAAATGGCAATTTGGGGTTAGGGGTGGAATGTAAAAAGTCAAAGAAGTTATTTGTTGGGGGTTTTTGTGGTCCCTAGGTACGTAAAAGTTTATTTTTCCGTCGTCAAACTTTAAGTGTAGCTTTTTATTAGTCCGTGCTTTAAGGGTAGGAATAAGGGGCGGGGAGATTTTCATCACTTGGCAAAAATAAAAAATCTGTCATTGGAAGAGGTTCGATGAATATAAATATGATCACTGTTTTTAATCCTCTCTTACTTTCTGGAGGTTGTTCTTTACGTCCTCCTTAAGGGAGCAAATTAAGGTTGAGGGTTAAAAAAAATTAATATCTTAAAATAAATATTTGCTTGATTCATTTCCTCCCTTAAAATAAAGGATGATGAAGAAAATGCTGATAGGTTTCGTGCTCATCGACGTTAAACACCTTAATCGGAATTTTTGTTAATTTTTTTCTTTTTTTCAATGTATATTTCTTCCATTGAACTAGATAATAAAAGCCACTTCTGAGATAAAGGGTGATTCTAAAATATAAGCTAGATGCGTTTTAAATGCATCCCCTATCCAAAATAGGGGATAATGAAAAAAACATGTCAGATTAATGTTTAGTGAACATCAAAAACCTCCGATAATAGTTTTGTTGGTTTTTGATACTTCATATCCTCACTTCTTATTTCTACCCTTGAGTAACAATAAAAAAAATAAAATTTTTTACATGAATTGGTTAGCTTACTGTAAGAAAATGCGTATGCTTACAGTAAGCAAACATTAATTTCTGTGTCAAAACGCAGTTTCTCTTATAACAAGGCAATAAAATTACAGCTCTGAACACAATATATAGCACACGTTTTTATTTTATAATTTGTATATTGGTATATTTAAGTTCAGTAAATTGAAAGACTAGTAATATTTCAGATAAATTTTATTATTCAATCCCCCACCTCTCAGTTCTTCCCCTAAATCAGGGGATGATAAAAACAGCTCATGAAAAGGAGTTTTTTGTTTTAATGATGCTTTTATTCGTGTTCAGCGACAACAAAAACCTCACCCCTAAAATAGGGATGAAAATATTTTCATTAATTTTTCCATAACATGTTTCAATTGAGCATTGATTCCACCATAATGTGTCTTAATTTCACTGTATTAATCGAAGATATAAGATTTTTGAACGAAGAAAATCGATTTTCACTTTTTTCACCTATTCACCCTTCATTTCCACCCCCAAAATAGGGGATGATGACATTTGCAATAATTTTCCTTAAATCACCATCAAATAAGCTTTAATTAAAAAAAATGTAAAACGATTTGTTAATTCTTCTTCGAGATATTTGATTTTGACATAAAAAAATGCCGTTTGACCCATACTGTGGCGCTTGGATCACTGCGCGAATGTTTAATGGAATAATATAGAAAATAAAATCTGTCAAGTGTTTTAGAAATTGATTTTTTCTATTTCCTCGTTAACCTATCCATATAATAAATGTTTTTACTAAATACAAATGGTCAAAAATATAACAGATATTATGGCATTACACAAAACAAACTTTTTAATATCGAAAAAAAATCATTGGAATATTTAGTTAATAATAATTTAGATATTTTGTAATGACAATATTAGCAGAAGTAGTTTTAAAAATATGGTATTTTTTGTAATTAGGCATCGCTATTTATTGCTATAATAAAATTCGGTTTAATAGCGTATATTATTAGTAAAAAAATTAGAACAGAAGAGAAAATAATTCTAAAAAAATTGAATAAACAAGATCCGATTCTAAAACCTGTCTCATAAATTTGCATATTGAATGGCGATTTTTTGATAGTTTTTTTAAGAAAAAAAACGCCACTCTTCTTCAGAAAGCACTTTTTTGTTTTAAAAATCAGAGAACACTTAAAAACTAATAACGTAAGTATTATTTTTGTATTTTATTTTATAAAACTACATCTCAAAATGAACAAAATGAAAAAAAGTTTATGATATCTTTAGTTGTTGCCAAGTTACAGGTATTTGAATTTTTTTACCCAAAATATTCAAATGCTTAAAACTTCTTGAGGGGTGGAAATAAAAATTTGAAAAAATTTACGCTCTAAATGGGTAGGTACTAAATAATACAAAACGATCAGGAAAATTAAAAATGGTCGGGTCACGTCCTCAGTCATCTGGCATTAGTAAGTTTGGTTAAATTATAATATTTTGGATACCTCTACGTGTACCACTCCGTATCGGTTCTTGTGCGGGACACCCTGTACAATTATCTCTTAAAATAGCAGGACATATTCTCTTCATCGAACAGCTAAATGTTTCATTCTAAGGTCCATACAATTGTTTGTTTAAATATTGTTTTTCGACCTTTGAACCTCAACAAAATAAATAAATACCTGTGCACTTTTTTATGAAATCTGGGCAGTTATCACGTTTACTTTAAAAGAATTTTACAAAATATTTGAAGTAATAAGTTGTCATAAAAATTCACCGAATTGCAATTGAAAATGCACTGTTCCAAGTAATAATTAATATATTTGCAAATCCTATTTAATAAATAATACGCTGATTTTATTTTATATACACGTGCGTTTTCCTTTCGAAGGAAAAAATCGGATAACGGCACATATGTCACGGTGCTTTAAGAGAAATCACTTATTTCGTATAGGCATAATTGAATAATTTAAGCGCTCATTAATCCAATATATGTTATTAATTTTTGCTAATTACTGAAACCCTTTCACATAAATATTAGTATATATTGCTAGTTTGCGACTTATATTGTTAGTTTTGTACCGAGATCGAGCAAAGTACCTCACTCAACATGAATAATCTCTTTGTAAGTAAATAACTTTATTATAACCCTAATTTCATTCTTTCAAAATTGAGTAGTATGATAATAGACAATAAGAAAGTGAAATTGGTGTATAAAACTTTTTTTTAAATATGTTTATTGTACATATATCTTTCTGTCACAGGTAATTTGTTCGGTAGTAGCTGCAGCGGCAGCTTTACCACAATATGGCGGAGGGTCTGCTGGAGGCCTTCTAGGACATTCCCAGCCCTTGGAACACCAGATTATTGGTTTAAGCAGGGGAATAGAGATCGAGCATGGCGGTGGTGAGGAAGGAGGACATCAAGGTGGAGGCGGTGGAGGTGGTGGAGGCGGCGGAGGCGGAAGCGAAGGAGGTCATGGGGAGTCGATTGGATTCACCGGTTCCCATTTTAACACCCCTGTAGATATACACCACGAGAAAGAAATTAAATTGAAGGTAAGAAATTGAGAGATCGTGGAAAGTAGCCCACTAGGCTATTTCTATTTTGATGCATTGAATTCGTCGTTAGTGTTACTCCAACACTCACAGCACTTAAGTAAATAGCTCAAAATAGCTGAAAACTCTGAAAAGTGGTGGAAAAGCCAACTATTGCACATTAGTAATGTTTTGAAAAAAATATTTGGGGAGGAATCTTATGTTTTTATTGCATTAAGTACTATTATTAGAGAAAAATCGCGGAAAATTGAGAAAAATAAGTAGAAAATCATTTATACCGAAGTTTGCACTGAACGAAGAAATTTATTTGGATCAGTTTAAGTCTTCTTATTCCAATGTATTTTGACGCGTTGTTCCGGAATTTGTCACTTATTAAGCTTCCCTGCTCTTCCTAAATAAGTTTTTTGAAGAAAAGCCTGAAATAATCGAAGCCCCAGTTATAATTTAAAACCTTGTTATCTTGAATGGAAAAATTCAAATTCTAAATCATTTCTTATGTCATCGAAAGACCTACACAGTGGGTTTCAACTCTTAGAACTCTGCCATTATATTATCACCACATCTGCTCCTTCAATTTCTTTCAGATCTTGATGAAAGCGTTCACGCTGCTCCTCGCTAACTCGAAAACCTTAGTTTTCAGGAAACTAGTTCAGTTGGGAAACCAAGAAATGAATTTTTACATTACTAAACATCCTAAGCGTTAATAGTTTCTTATTGTTTCTGCTACAATAGTATTGGCTTTTGTGGTTGCCTAAACAGTTTTAAGCGGCTTTCGAAAACTTAACTACGCTGCTCTGTTGCTATGAAGTGGTCATCTTTCGGATTTGAAGTTCGCCGAAATTTAGTTAGGTATTGGAAATAATTTCCGTTTTTATCCAAAGTCTTGACCAATTTGATCAGAACAAGTTTTATATGGAGTAGATAAACAGTGTTTTCGAAGGGTTCACCTAAGTTGTTCTATAACTTTGTGAATTCCTAGGTTGAGTGCTTTTCTTGTCGGTCATTGTTCCTTTTTATATTGATTTTTTTTTCGTTGTTTTTGAGACCTTTGCTATTGCCAAAGGAATCGAAAAACACCAACATGTCAGAGTATAACGGCATTGAAGAAAACAAAAACGCAGAAAAACTTACAGGAATGGACCCGAAGCAGTATTTCAAGAATTAGAGCTGACTTTTGGCATTCTTTAAGTCTGCCACATACGTTTTGAAGAGATGAGTGGAAGATATACTCATGGCCAGAATAGGCCTTTGAGAAGGAATTGTTAACCGTTTTATTGCAAAAAGAAATCAATAAAATACTGAGTGTAAGAAAAATCAGGCTGTGAGAAGTCACGTAACTTTTAATAGGAAATTGTTGACTGAAAAAGCATTTCTAAGTTACAAAATTAGAATCCAATCTGTTGGGGTCAGAACTGGGAAGAACAGTCCTCATTCTCATTTTTTGATAAACCTTTCTAGGACTGTCTTTAATTTCTTTAAATATGAAGACAATACGGGTTAGCGGACTTTTGGAATTAGAAGTTTACTTTTAGAATAAATAGAGAGTGAGGCTCTGGGGAACCGACTGGCACAGCAAATGGTGATCATTAATGTAATGTAACAAATAAAATTGTTAATTGGCTACAAATTATAAAGTTAATATGTATCTATAAATTTTTACGTGATTTGTTCCAAAGGAATGCAATTTTTTCTAAAGCAAACATAATCCTTTTTTTTTAATACCACATCTCAGTAGAGATTAGCGCTGTAAAGGATTGAACGAAGATAGTTTGTTATTGAAAAATGAATATTTTTAGGAATAATGCTACCGGTCACTGTAAAATTCTGGCTATTGCACGTTTAAAAAATATGATTTTTTGAAAATATATTGTAATTTCTTGTATGTACCCTATAATGTTGTTAAGAGTCTACAAAATATTTATTTAATGACGCAATTTTTTTTTTCGTTAGGCTCATCCAGAATACTACTACGATTATCACGTGGCCGACCACAAACACAAGGACTACAAGAGCAAACACGAGACTCGCGATGGATACAAAGTAAAGGGTACGTACAGTCTCTTAGAACCTGACCACAAAACCATTCGTGTTGTGGATTATGTGTCCGACAAGAAACTTGGATTTGTCGCCAAAGTATCTTACAAAAAGCATCAGTAATAACGAAGCTGAAGGCTCTTGTGTTAGTTTTAATGTAAATATGTTTTTGTATGATATTCTATTTGTAATTTTATAATTGTTGCCGAGTTGACTGTTTTATTGCGAAATAAATTGTTTTTGGTTGATTTGATTTCCTTTTTTTTTATTCATCGACTAGAATTATTTCCATAAGGTGAGGAGCTTGTTCGGAAATAATGTTTAAAAAAAAATCGAAATTAAGTCAATTAAGTCAGATGCGTAGAGTTTTAAATAATTTTCATCTAATCAGAAATTCAAGTCTGGATTATATTTATTCCCGTTTTACTTAAATGACTCTATTTGTTGATTATATTAGTCTATACTTATTAAGAGATTGGTAAAGTGTTGCCAACGAAGAAAAAAAAGGGTGGCAGCTGACAGTTCAGGATTATTAAAAATGGAGCATGGTTAGACGAAAGAACAACGCGTTTTCATTGTTGAGCGATATTTTAAAAATAATGAGGGTTTGGTACATACGGTTCGCAATTTTCGTACAAAATATGACTTTAACAAGTCGTTCAACACAAAATGAAGCAGCTCGTGAGAGTGTTGCTTATAGTCCAAAAACATCAATACGGCATTGTGGTCAAGAATTGGATATTTCGAGAAGCTCTCTTCAGCGTATTCTCACAAAAGATTTGCATTTTCATGATTACCAAGTTCAATTGACTCAAGAACTGAAGCCTACTGATCACGCTGAGCGAAAAGAGTTAGTTGAATGGACTATGGAACATGTGGATGTTGATTTTACGAACAAAATCATTTTTAGCAATGAGGCTCTTTTGATGGCTTCCTTAATCAACAAAATTGTCGTATTCGGGGTTCAGAAAATCCACGAGTGATTGTTGAGAAACATATGCATCAACAACGTCTCACTGTTTGGTGCGGATTTTGGTCTGGCGGCATCATCGGACTATTCTGGTCAGGCAATAGGTGTTCGATATCGCGACATTATAATCAAGTTCTTTGTGCCTAAATTGCAAGATATGGATGTTGTTTCAACAAGACGGTGTGACATGCCATACAGTCCGAGAAACAATTTGTAACAGAAGTCAAATATGTATAATTTATGGGGCGGTTTTCAGAAAGATTGGGACCCAATAGTTCTATTAGGCCCTTCTATGAAATAACCATTGGAAGACAAGGGGTTTCCGAATAGATTTTTCGAGTCGTTGTAAAATCGTTAAGTGGGTCGCCTGTAAAGCTTTTGTCGCAAAAACTAATAAATTTCCAAAATATAAGCGTCGCTGCTATCGACGAAGGATATCATAAAATTTAGCAATGATTTGAACAAGTTGACTTGGACCGTGTTGGGCATCTGGTATCGACTAACCGACGTCGGTTTAGCTCATGGTAAGGAAAAAAGGGTAGGAATTCCAAGATATTTAAATAAATTGTTAGGATGTAAGGATTTAACAAGCTATAAAAATAGATTGAACGAGGCTGACTAATCAGACCTGTGTTGCTACACGGAGTCGCGAGAGGAAGGTGTAGGGTTACTTGTAAGTTCAGTTAGTCACAGAATTATTCATATAAATGTAAATTCAGATTATGAGGTAACTATTACATGGTATTGTTAAGCCATTTCAACCCCTGATATTCAAGGATCCCGCCAGTAAGATAAGAATCGAAACTTCTGTACCCAAGAAATGGGCGTGCCGAAACGAGGTGTCGAATTCAGAAGAGATCTTCGAAAAAGGCAGTTCCTCCTTGGATTCCACACTGGGCAGTCTACTTAGTTTTAGAGTCTTGGGTTAATTTAATAATGGATAAAGTCTTTCAAAATTTCTGCCATGACATAGTATAATAAATTAATCAATAATGTTTGTTCGAATCCGTTGTGTCATCGTTATTTTGTTTGTATTGTTTTTATTCTTATTAAACAACCTTCCTGGAAAGGTGTTTGGTGTTTTCTTGTTCTTCCAACTTAAGTATCACCCTGTACAACTAGCAGCTGGATTCCAATCTACGTATGCAGTGCCGGAAATTTATTCTCTGAACATTTCTAAGTTCCCACGTATCAATTCAAGTGTAGAAAACAATTTTGGCAGTTAATACCATAGCGGTAGATAAATAAATAAAAATAAATAACTTCTTGCGTGAATTTTGGGACACCCTTTATATCTCCTGAATATCTACATTTCTGATATCGAACGTTGTTTGACTTCATTTGATAGGATTTCTTCGAATAATTATTTTAAATTGGTTTGAACGAGATTAATTCTTTTAAAATGGAGCATGTAGCCATAGAATAGTTGTTCTTAGCCATAGAATAGTTGTTCTCAGCAATATCAGCAGTGTCGTATCTTGTCTGTGGGTCAGATACTTTTTGCGCACCTCTATATTTCTTATCCAAGAATATTGGCTTCATCTGATACCATTTTTTAGAAAAAAAAAAATTGAATTTGTCGAGAATTAGATCAATATCTTTAAAATAGAACAAAAAATTCGAGAGCTAATCAAGTTTTATCAGTCGCGTGAAATACTTTAAGCGACTATTTATTATTTTTTTTTAAATTTAACTGTATTGCGACAATGTGTTCTTATATGAATTTTCTTTTCATATTTTGAGGTGTTTTATCACCAGGTATAGTTTCGCGTATGCGGCTTAGGACACCCTGTATACGATAAAAACACAACAATGTGATTATAGGCATGGGTTGAAATTTTAGGTATTTATATATAAAAAATAAAGAAGATATAAAGAAATATTGACTGACTTTATATCCATTTAGAAATAACTGTTATGTAGTGGTTTTAATTTGCAATGAAAGAAAGCACCACATTTTATTATTTTTTTGTTAAATATTTCACATTTACATAGATTATATAAAAAATAATGAAATGTCATGTTTCCACAGACATATTATAAACGTCTAATTATCACTGGAATGAAGTGAAATAAATATTTAGATTTAGATAAAAGAAAAATGCGGAAACATTACATCTCATTAAATATATATTACTAACACGCAATAGTTAGGGAATATATTTGTAATTATATTAATGTTTAAAATTATCTAAGAGAAACTCAATAAGCACTTACCTATACTTAACATTTTGTTCAAAAACGTTTCTACAACATTAATTAGATTAATTTATAACGAAATGAAAATTATAATTGAATGTTTAGCAATGACGATTACACCGTGGAAAACTATTGGGAGTAACAAGAAACAATAGCCCTAATAACTATATTAGGTAATGGGTTCATTACGAGTCCGTTTAAATAAGAGTATACTAAATTCTTTTGACTGTTACGCTCTACTTGCTCCGACTTGGTGTTTTACAATGATATAGGACATACCTATCGTAATGATTGTGCCTAACTTACGCTCTTGTATTACTTCACCTGTACGTAATATAAAATTGGACCAAAAAGAAATTTAGTGAAAGGGTAAGTGCTCTGACACAATATTTAAAAATAAAAGAGTTAAGGATGTGTCTAGGAAAAAGTTGTTATTTAAGTATTATTAAACGTATCAACACAATAGGATCGTTTTCATAAATGAAATTCTAGATAAAACGTAATACAAATATAAAATACTTATGAAATAAAGCCAATAAATATCATAATTACTTTTTTCTGTTTTATTATGTTTAATTACTAAGTAGTAAAATTTAGTTCAGTAAACAAAGACACCTAAAAATTAGGAAAAATTCCCTAGAATTGAATGAACTACTTTTCCCAGCTGAATGTTAGGGCTTTGTTTACAAAATGGCGTTCAAAGTTCACAAAAAACTAAACATTTTAGAAAAAAAATGTTTTAGACAAAAGTTGTAGAACTTTTTGTAACAGAAAGCCCAGCCCGATGTCAATTGATAAATAAATGTTTTAGTCATTGCAAAAAATAGCATTTTTTAAAAACTTCTATATCTTTAAAACGAAAAAATATTTTTTTACGAAACTTTCATAATATGTAATCCTTGGCAAGTAGAATAAGTGCATTTCTGTAAAATTGCAAAATATTTTATAGTTCTACAACTTGTCTAAATTGTTTTTTTTTGTGAAAAAAAAACAACTGTTTTTGTTGAACTTTGGACGGTATTTTGAAATTGAAGCCCTAACATTCAGCTGGGGTAAAGTAGTTCATTCAATTCAACAGAATTTTTCCTAATTTTTAAGTGTCTTTGTTTACTGACTTAAATTGGCACGTAAAAATCTAATTTGATTGGACTATTTGGTCCAATTAAAGTGGTCTATATCGACCCCTAGGGGCCGACTTTATGGCTTTCCATAAATGGAATTATTCACATAATACAGATAGTACCTATGTACTTACATAATACTTTCTTATAACATATGTAGTAAATTTTTTTAAATATAAATGTTTACTAAACATGATGAAGATTTGGAGCTAGATTTGGGGAACTTTATGACTATGTTTTAATGATGGAAAAATTGGAGACCGATGATTGTTTTACTTAAAAAAATATTGTTCCTTATACGTTTATTATTGAAATTGAAGTAATTATTTTCTTATTGTATATCAAACTGTTTAAGAATTATTATACATTTCATAGTACCTATGTTAAACAGTTATTTTATTTACTACACCCAAATACACATTAAGTATATTTGTGGTCGCCTGTAACTTGTAAAAACTTGCAGTGTGTCAGCTGTCAAAAACACATTTGAAGTTGATGAATTTATAATAATTCAGTATTACCCAAAACAGAAAAAACTGGCACGTGGTCTACGAGGCAAAAAAGTTTGGGGACGTCTGACATATATATTATAGGGAATGTGAATAAGCCACGGCGATTGAGCATCCGATTTTTTGATGCTGCTAAGGGCACAGTCATTTAAAAAGTGTTGATGACGCTCATTTATGGGATTACGGTGGAAGAGCTTAGCAGTGTAATTATAAATTTTTTCACGTTTAATCGATTATAGTTTCTTCCATAATCCATAGTAGAGGTTTTGAGATGGCAGTAATTCCGAAGTGCACAATTTTTTGCTATACTTAGTGCGTTATTTAGGAGATATTTAGGGATTTACATAAAATGACGACTCTGTTGCAAATGAGCCAGAAAAATACGCATTTCAAAGCGGCGCTGCAGTAAATGTGTGACTACTATTTCGTTTCTTGATGAAAATGCATAAGACAAAAATATTTCGAAAGGGGGAGCTTCAAACTTTCCTTCTATCTATCTATTTACAGGAAAAATAATGCCTCCTTTAACAAATTTTGTCAACAAATATTTATACTAATTTATTACAATTGTTAAAAAAAAATAAAGTAGTAGTGTATTAATTTTCAAAATTAAAGTTTAAGTAAATAAAATATTTTATTAAAAATTTCCAATCTAATATTTTCTTAGCTTAAGAAGATTTTTGTATATTTTTTTAATTTCTAGGGAGGAGCTGCCCCTTCCTGCCCCATCTTGGAAACGCCCTTGTGTCTGAGGATATATTTAGTATCAATTTATCAATTTTGACAAAAAGATTAAAAGTCAGAAAATGTGTTGCGAAACTTATAAATTACCTGATACTATAATGGATAGAGTTAAAACGTTAGAAGTGTACAAGTCTGTGGAAGAAGTTTTGGATTTTAATATTTAATTATGGAAACGAGAGTTAGTGGACCTAGTGTATATTTTGTGAATCACATTTANTTTCAAAATTAAAGTTTAAATAAATAAAATATTTTATTAAAAATTTCCAATCTAATATTTTCATAGCTTAAGAAGATTTTTGTATTTTTTTTTAATTTCTAGGGGGGAGCTGCCCCTTCCTGCCCCCCTCTTGGCGACGCCCTTGTGTCTGAGGATATATCTAGTATCAATTTATCAATTTTGACAATAAGATCAGGCCTTAAAAGACAGAAAATGTTTTGAGAAACTTATAAATTACCTGATACTATAATGGATAAAGTTAAAACGTTAGAAGTGTACAAGTCTGTGGAAGAAGTTTTAGATTTTAATATTTAATTATTGTTTTTCCATGAAAACGAGAGTCAGTGGACCTAGTGTATAGTTTGTGAATCACATTTAAAAAAAGAACTGTAATAAATCCTCAATTTTCTACGAATCTTTCGTCTCTTTATATTATTTCACTTTCATGCCAAATTTGCTGAATAAAACATTAAAATTATGGGACATAATTCAATTTTCTAAAAAATATTCTCTGCAAAAAATATCTTTTTTGCAGCGAATTTTGTGCTGTACAACTTTGATCCTTTGCATGTTTGTGAAATTCTTAATACTTTTAAAGTTACTGACGAAATAAGTTTTTTTGCAGTTTTCAGGCCATTTCTCGAATTTTTCCAGACCGCTTCCGTGCAGAACAATTTTTCTTCGCATCTAAAGTTTCTGTTTAGAATAACGGAATTTTAATTGATGTAGACTCCCTTGTCAATGTCGTATCGTCTTTGCTTTGTTCTAAAACAAATACTAATTTAATTACGAGTATCCACTCATTTCTCCTCTTCATCTTTAAGAAGTTTACGTCGTTGGGTCCATTTAATTTTTTGAAATCAGTTTTTAATCGCAGGCGTAGGGCGCAAAAATGCCGTTAATGGATATTATTTTTTAAGTAAACATAAAACCACGTATGTGCAATTTTATTAATATTGTGTGATGTTTATTTTTATTTACCGGTAAAATAATTGGGCCGACTATCTGTCGCGTACGCCCTGACTGATAAGTATTAACTCTAAATCTGAAATTGTAAAAACGCGACGACAGTGATTCGGCGGCGACACTGTCCGATAAAAAAATGAAATAAAGACGCATTCCATGTATGCACATAACTAAGGCTCAGCATTTGTTAATCTTTGAAGGGCTTCCCGAGAGTTTGGCCACTGTGGTTTGGCGCCACCCTAGAGTTTAAGGCCCCTGGACCATGGCCTCATTGACCTTGTGCTTAATCTGGCCGTCATGATTAGGGCTGTCAGAGAGAGCCGCAATTTAATGGCGTACCAAGTGGGTCAACTGAGACATGCGTGAGCCGCTGCCTCAGAATGCTTTTTACGTCCACGTCACGTTAGTATACTGTTACTCTGTTATCACGCGGATGTTGCGTAATTAATTCCTACTCGTTGGTGTTTATGGTGGTGTATTGTAGACAATTTAATTTGTTGCTTTTTAATAAATAACACGTACGCCTATGTCTCGTGGCTCATTTCTGACAGCCCTAATCATGATTATGTATTGATCAATCACATAATGTTCCATACCCCTCCTAATAAGGAATATTTTATTTTTCAAAAAAAAAATAGCATAGTCAAAAGTCTTAGTAAATTTTCTTGCGGTATTAAAGATGTACATAAAAACCAATTGATTGTTGCGTTTCTGAGGTATAAACAAAACTTGTTCTTTTTCAAGTGGANGGCGGTGGAGGCGGCGGAGGCGGAAGCGAAGGAGGTCATGGGGAGTCGATTGGATTCACCGGTTCCCATTTTAACACCCCTGTAGATATACACCACGAGAAAGAAATTAAATTGAAGGTAAGAAATTGAGAGATCGTGGAAAGTAGCCCACTAGGCTATTTCTATTTTGATGCATTGAATTCGTCGTTAGTGTTACTCCAACACTCACAGCACTTAAGTAAATAGCTCAAAATAGCTGAAAACTCTGAAAAGTGGTGGAAAAGCCAACTATTGCACATTAGTAATGTTTTGAAAAAAATATTTGGGGAGGAATCTTATGTTTTTATTGCATTAAGTACTATTATTAGAGAAAAATCGCGGAAAATTGAGAAAAATAAGTAGAAAATCATTTATACCGAAGTTTGCACTGAACGAAGAAATTTATTTGGATCAGTTTAAGTCTTCTTATTCCAATGTATTTTGACGCGTTGTTCCGGAATTTGTCACTTGTTAAGCTTCCCTGCTCTTCCTAAATAAGTTTTTTGAAGAAAAGCCTGAAATAATCGAAGCCCCAGTTTGATAATTTAAAACCTTGTTATCTTGAATGGAAAAATTCAAATTCTAAATCATTTCTTATGTCCTCGAAAGACTTACACAGTGGGTTTCGACTCTTAGAACTCTGCCATTATAATATCACCACATCTGCTCCTTCAATTTCTTTCAGATCTTGATGAGAGCGTTCACGCTGCTCCTCGGTATAATCACCTTTGTTTTCAGGAAACTAGTTCAGTTGGGAAACCAAGAAATGAATTTTTACATTACTAAACATCCTAAGCGTTAATAGTTTCTTATTGTTTCTGCTACAATAGTATTGGCTTTTGTGGTTGCCTAAACAGTTTTAAGCGGCTTTCGAAAACTTAACTACGCTGCTCTGTTGCTATGAAATGGTCATCTTTCGGATTTGAAGTTCGCCGAAATTTAGTTAGGTATTGGAAATAATTTCCGTTTTTATCCAAAGTCTTGACCAATTTGATCAGAACAAGTTTTATATGGAGTAGATAAACAGTGTTTTCGAAGGGTTCACCTAAGTTGTTCTATAACTTTGTGAATTCCTAGGTTGAGTGCTTTTCTTGTCGGTCATTGTTCCTTTTTATATTGATTTTTTTTTCGTTGTTTTTGAGACCTTTGCTATTGCCAAAGGAATCGAAAAACACCAACATGTCAGAGTATAAAGGCATTGAAGAAAACAAAAACGCAGAAAAACTTACAGGAATGGACCCGAAGCAGTATTTCAAGAATTAGAGCTGACTTTTGGCATTCTTTAAGTCTGCCACATACGTTTTGAAGAGATGAGTGGAAGATATACTCATGGCCAGAATAGGCCTTTGAGAAGGAATTGTTAACCGTTTTATTGCAAAAAGAAATCAATAAAATACTGAGTGTAAGAAAAATCAGGCTGTGAGAAGTCACGTAACTTTTAATAGGAAATTGTTGACTGAAAAAGCATTTCTAAGTTACAAAATTAGAATCCAATCTGTTGGGGTCAGAACTGGGAAGAACAGTCCTCATTCTCATTTTTTGATAAACCTTTCTAGGACTGTCTTTAATTTCTTTAAATATGAAGACAATACGGGTTAGCGGACTTTTGGAATTAGAAGTTTACTTTTAGAATAAATAGAGAGTGAGGCTCTGGGGAACCGACTGGCACAGCAAATGGTGATCATTAATGTAATGTAACAAATAAAATTGTTAATTGGCTACAAATTATAAAGTTAATATGTATCTATAAATTTTTACGTGATTTGTTCCAAAGGAATGCAATTTTTTCTAAAGCAAGCAGAATCCTTTTTTTTAATATCACATCTCAGAAGAGATTGGCGCTGTAAAGGATTGAACGAAGATAGTTTGTTATTGAAAAATGAATATTTTTAAGGATAATGCTACCGGTCACTGTGAAAAAATTTTTGGCTATTGCTGTTAATAGAGTCTACAAAATATTTATTTAATGACGCAATTTTTTTTTTCGTTAGGCTCATCCAGAATACTACTACGATTATCACGTGGCCGACCACAAACACAAGGACTACAAGAGCAAACACGAGACTCGCGATGGATACAAAGTAAAGGGTACGTACAGTCTCTTAGAACCTGACCACAAAACCATTCGTGTTGTGGATTATGTGTCCGACAAGAAACTTGGATTTGTCGCCAAAGTATCTTACAAAAAGCATCAGTAATAACGAAGCTGAAGGCTCTTGTGTTAGTTTTAATGTAAATATGTTTTTGTATGATATTCTATTTGTAATTTTATAATTGTTACCGAGTTGACTGTTTTATTGCGAAATAAATTGTTTTTGGTTGATTTGATTTCCTTTTTTTTTATTCATCGACTAGAATTATTTCCATAAGGTGAGGAGCTTGTTCGGAAATAATGTTTAAAAAAAAATCGAAATTAAGTCAATTAAGTCAGATGCGTAGAGTTTTAAATAATTTTCATCTAATCAGAAATTCAAGTCTGGATTATATTTATTCCCGTTTTACTTAAATGACTCTATTTGTTGATTATATTAGTCTATACTTATTAAGAGATTGGTAAAGTGTTGCCAACGAAGAAAAAAAAGGGTGGCAGCTGACAGTTCAGGATTATTAAAAATGGAGCATGGTTAGACGAAAGAACAACGCGTTTTCATTGTTGAGCGATATTTTAAAAATAATGAGGGTTTGGTACATACGGTTCGCAATTTTCGTACAAAATATGACTTTAACAAGTCGTTCAACACAAAATGAAGCAGCTCGTGAGAGTGTTGCTTATAGTCCAAAAACATCAATACGGCATTGTGGTCAAGAATTGGATATTTCGAGAAGCTCTCTTCAGCGTATTCTCACAAAAGATTTGCATTTTCATGATTACCAAGTTCAATTGACTCAAGAACTGAAGCCTACTGATCACGCTGAGCGAAAAGAGTTAGTTGAATGGACTATGGAACATGTGGATGTTGATTTTACGAACAAAATCATTTTTAGCAATGAGGCTCTTTTGATGGCTTCCTTAATCAACAAAATTGTCGTATTCGGGGTTCAGAAAATCCACGAGTGATTGTTGAGAAACATATGCATCAACAACGTCTCACTGTTTGGTGCGGATTTTGGTCTGGCGGCATCATCGGACTATTCTGGTCAGGCAATAGGTGTTCGATATCGCGACATTATAATCAAGTTCTTTGTGCCTAAATTGCAAGATATGGATGTTGTTTCAACAAGACGGTGTGACATGCCATACAGTCCGAGAAACAATTTGTAACAGAAGTCAAATATGTATAATTTATGGGGCGGTTTTCAGAAAGATTGGGACCCAATAGTTCTATTAGGCCCTTCTATGAAATAACCATTGGAAGACAAGGGGTTTCCGAATAGATTTTTCGAGTCGTTGTAAAATCGTTAAGTGGGTCGCCTGTAAAGCTTTTGTCGCAAAAACTAATAAATTTCCAAAATATAAGCGTCGCTGCTATCGACGAAGGATATCATAAAATTTAGCAATGATTTGAACAAGTTGACTTGGACCGTGTTGGGCATCTGGTATCGACTAACCGACGTCGGTTTAGCTCATGGTAAGGAAAAAAGGGTAGGAATTCCAAGATATTTAAATAAATTGTTAGGATGTAAGGATTTAACAAGCTATAAAAATAGATTGAACGAGGCTGACTAATCAGACCTGTGTTGCTACACGGAGTCGCGAGAGGAAGGTGTAGGGTTACTTGTAAGTTCAGTTAGTCACAGAATTATTCATATAAATGTAAATTCAGATTATGAGGTAACTATTACATGGTATTGTTAAGCCATTTCAACCCCTGATATTCAGGGATCCCGCCAGTAAGATAAGAACCGAAACTTCTGTACCCAAGAAATGGGCGTGCCGAAACGAGGTGTCGAATTCAGGAGAGATCTTCGAAAAAGGCAGTTCCTCCTTGGATTCCACACTGGGCAGTCTACTTAGTTTTAGAGTCTCGGGTTAATTTAATAATGGATAAAGTCTTGCAAAATTTCTGCCATGACATAGTATAATAAATTAATCAATAATGTTTGTTCGAATCCGTTGTGTCATCGTTATTTTGTTTGTATTGTTTTTATTCTTATTAAACAACCTTCCTGGAAAGGTGTTTGGTGTTTTCTTGTTCTTCCAACTTAAGTATCACCCTGTACAACTAGCAGCTGGATTCCAATCTACGTATGCAGTGCCGGAAATTTATTCTCTGAACATTTCTAAGTTCCCACGTATCAATTCAAGTGTAGAAAACAATTTTGGCAGTTAATACCATAGCGGTAGATAAATAAATAAAAATAAATAACTNTTATGCTGTACAACTTTGATCCTTTTCATGTTTGTGAAATTCTTAATACTTTTCAAGTTATTCACGAAATAAGTTTTTTTGCAGTTTTCAGGCCATTTCTCGAATTTTTCCGGACCGCTTCCGTGCAGAACAATTTTTCTTCGCATCTAAAGTTTCTGTTTAGAATAACGGAATTTTAATTGATGTAAACTCCCTTGTCAATGTCGTATCGTCTTTGTTTTGTTCTAAAACAAATACTAATTTAATTACGAGTATCCACTCATTTCTCCTTTTCATCTTTAAGAAGTTTACGTCGTTGGGTCCATTTCATTTTTTGAAATCAGTTTTTAATCGCAGGCGTAGGGCGCAAAAATGCCGTTAATGGATATTATTTTTTAAGTAAACATAAAACCACGTATGTGCAATTTTATTAATATTGTGTGATGTTTATTTTTATTTACCGGTAAAATAATTGGGCCGACTATCTGTCGCGTACGCCCTGACTGATAAGTATTAACTCTAAATCTGAAATTGTAAAAACGCGACGACAGTGATTCGGCGGCGACACTGTCTGATAAAAAATGAAATAAAGACGCATTCCATGTATGCACATAACTAAGGCTCAGCATTTGTTAATCTTTGAAGGGCCTCCCGAGAGTTTGGCCACTGTGGTTTGGCGCCATCCTAGAGTTTAAGGCCCCTGGACCATGGCCTCATTGACCTTGTGCTTAATCTGGCCGTCATGATTAGGGCTGTCAGAGAGAGCCGCAATTCAATGGCGTACCAAGTGGGTCAACTGAGACATGCGTGAGCCGCTGTCTCAGAATGCTTTTTACGTTCACGTCACGTTAGTATACTGTTACTCTGTTATCACGCGGATGTTGCGTAATTAATTCCTACTCGTTGGTGTTTATGGTGGTGTATTGTAGACAATTTAATTTGTTGCTTTTTAATAAATAACACGTACGCCTATGTCTCGTGGCTCATTTCTGACAGCCCTAATCATGATTATGTATTGATCAATCACATAATGTTCCATACCCCTCCTAATAAGGAATATTTTATTTTTCAAAAAAAAAATAGCATAGTCAAAAGTCTTAGTAAATTTTCTTGCGGTATTAAAGATGTACATAAAAACCAATTGATTGTTGCGTTTCTGAGGTATAAACAAAACTTGTTCTTTTTCAAATGGATATTTTAATATTCCCCTTAAATGCCGGGGAAACCATCGCTTATTAGAGGAATTTTTAAAGAGCTTAGAGATGCGAAAGACATTAAATTCCTATGAATCTGAAGAGCTTTTTGGGTCGCTGATCACGAATCTGGTCTCGGAATCACGAAATTCAAAATGGCGAATCCAATATGGCGGACAAGAATATTGAAATGTCTTCAAAATGCATGAATTTTTTTGTAACGGGGTTTTTTGGGTCTATGATTACGAATTTGGACTCTAAATCACGAAATTCAAAATGGCGGATTCAATATGACGGACAAAATAATTAAAATGTCTTTAAAATGCATTAATTTTTGTGTAGTGGGGTTTTTTGGGTCTCTGATTACTAATCTGAAGGCAGAATTACGAAATTCAAAATGACGGATTCCATATGGCGGATAAAAGAATTAAAAAGATCTTCATAATCCTCAAAAATTTGTTTATAGAAACTTTCTTGGAACACTGATTACAATTATGAATTCAGAATCATGAAATTCAAAGTGGCTAATCAAATATCCACAAACATGTATGTATAATAATTATTGATTTTTTCTTTTTCGTTTTATTCAATGTAAATGTGTCATATCATTTAAGGGGGGGAGGGGGAAAGGAGGGTGAGTGGGTAGGTCCGTTTAGGGTGGAAACGATTCAGTATTGCTAGTAGGTAGATACTAAAAATAATTTTTTCAGATTTTTTTCACTCAAAAATAAATTAGACCAAAAACCGGCTTTAGGGGCCCTCCTCCTTTACCAAAACTTTCGTTTCCATTATTTTTTTCTAAACAGAAAGGTAAAAAAGATAAGAAGGTAGAATATTATGTAAATTACCCTGTATCTACAGAATTATTCCTTTAATAAGACAAAGGGTCGATTATTTTTACTACGATGACAACTAGGAAGATATTGTGCTTTCTATTTCTGAACGATCTAGACTATTTCTTATAGAATTAATCTTTTGTTAGGTGTCATTTGGCGTTAATAATATATGAAATAGGATAAAATACATAATTTGAAAAACACTCAAGTCGGAAATAATTTTTCTTAGAAAATTACTAAAGTTTAATGCATAATCGTTCGTTTATTCAACTTTTGATTAATCGGAAATTATTTTATATCTATTCTTATTTACAAAATATTTGCCTAAATCCATTTCATAAGATAAGACATTGTCTATAACAATGAACTGGATATGAAACGAGGTACCTTTTTATAGGAAAAAACAAATATTTTTAGCACGATAGCGATTATATTTTATACGTGCTTTAATAACTGTTTGTATTGTTACATTGCCTATTGCTTTGTCTTTGAAATCGATATTTTGCAGTGGGTTACATATAAAAAATATTGTTTTGTTTTATTTATAAGACCTGCAAAATTTGCATTCAATGCTTTAATTAATAGTATAAAAATAAATTGCGTTTTTGAATATTAGCTGCTCTTTTATCCTTAGTGTGAATCACTCTTTCACTAGTTAGAAACACATGATTTTTATAGATTATATATATCAGATTATTTAAATAAATCTTCTATTGATAGACCAAATAGGTCACTAAAAATAATATATATTTTATATTCTTATCTATTGTAATGGTATGTTAAATATGTGTACACCAGATCAGATGAACTATGTTTCTATTGGTGTTGAACAAATAACTGATTTTGTCAGAAGTTATTGATTTATGGTAGTCATTTTTTT